TAAAGCCTCCGGATTCGAAGCGCCCTTCGTGGATATCACGATTGGCCAAAGTCTCTGGATTCGGAGCCCCATTGGTGCATGACGCCTTTGGGCCGATAAATCCTTCGGATTCGGAGCGCCCTTCGTGGATATTACGATTGGCCGAATAAAGTCTCCGCATGCAGAGCCGCATCGGCGCATGACGCCTCTGGGCCGATAAAGCATCCGGATTCAGAGCCCCATCGATGCATGACGCCTTTGGGCCAATTAAAGCCTCTGAATTTGGAGCGCCATCGGCGCATAATAGCTTTTTGCCGATTAAAAGCCTCCGAATTCGTGGCGAGTTCGTACAAGCCGTATAAACAAAAGCTAAAATATGCATCTATTCAAAATGGAATAGTTCAGGCCACACAAGCATAGTCTAAAACGTGCGAACATTCAAAGTAAAATGTGTTCACATCAAGTGTCTCAGCGTTATAAAAAGTGTGCTAACATAAATAAAAAGTACGCTACAAATTGAAAATTAATTAGAATAAGCCAATAAATACATAATTTCTACATAACCATTACAAGGTCTTCTTCTCTTCGGCGGCTCCCTCGTCATCACTCTTCTCAATTTTGAAAGCGGAGAAGGGGAAATCATTCTGTTAGTACAACAGCAACGCCGAATTCACACCTGCTGCCTAGAGAGCCTCAGCTTGCTGAAGTGCCTTGATCCAGCCGTGCTTAAATCCACGATTTTCACATCGGCAAACTTCTTCGACGAGTTTTTCCTTGATCTTCTGAATTTCGACCTTTCGGCCGTCATGGAAGCCTTTTTCATAGGTCGCGGCCCTCGCAGTCTCAATCGCGAACATGCTAGCCGTGTTCCGATCGGCGATCGCATCACTAATCAGCCTTTGAGTAACCCTCTCTTCCACAACCGGGTTGTGGTGTCTGGCTGAGTGAGACTCGGCAGATTTGATTTTCCTTAGCTCACGCTCGGCCTTTTCAGCACGAGGTTCTAACTTCCGAAGGCGTTCATCTCTCTGTTCTATATCGCGGCGAGCGGCGCGGAGACGCATACCGATTTCATAAGCGGTGTACAATTACCTCACTGCCCCGTGAACGCCTTCACGAAACACCTCGAAGTCCTGCCGACCTACCATTGACTGTTGGACTTCAGGTGGAAAAATCTGTCGAACGAACTCGACTGCCATATTGGGATCTCGAACGATCGAATCCGCCTTTTTCATTGGTCTATTACCCACGAAGACCGCAAAACTCAATGGGCGAGGAGTCACGTCGGATTCTCTTCCAGGACGGGGTTGAGGAGACTTACGCTGTGGCTGCTTGTCCCTCCTGGGCGACCTACTTCGACGATAAGGAGATTGGTATCTCTCCCAATCCCTCGAAATCCTACTGCCCGTGCACGAAGGTTCACCACTTCAATTCATGTCTCCTCCCAGCTCAGCTAGCGTCTTCGCTTCCCCACTGCTGTTGAAGAAAAGTCTATTTGACATTCACAAACTGGACTGAGTTGCTGTCAGAGCATATAAATAGGACTTTCGTTCATGAAGTACACGCCATTTATTCCCTACGAAGGCAGCACCTCCGAGGCAATCTCATTAATATCGAAACCTCAACAGCCCGGCGTCGATTGAGTCACATGCCCCAATCGGCCCATCAACCTCTGTTATTCGGCGTTCTATGTTCGTAAACCAGCTAGGGCAAGGGCAGATTCATCAATCTAGTCGACTCGAGTGCCCCAGCCGTTCCACGAATCGATTCATCAGTATAATATTCATAAGTTCGTTTTATTTGGCGTTTTACGTTCATGAACCAGCTGGGGCAAGGGCAGATTCATCAATCTAGTCGGCTCGAGTGCCCTAGCCGTTCCATGAATCGATTTATCAGTACAATATTCATAAGTTCATTTTATTCGGCGTGCTACATTCATGAACCACCTAAAGGCTGACCTATCGGCACCTCATGAATTCATTTTATTTATGATTAAATCAAATTCATTAATTTAATCGGTTATTAAGTTTGCCACCTTACGTAGTCGTCACATTTTGTTCTAACTGCTGATTCTTTTAGTTATGTACTCATACAGCAAACAATACAAGCCATTACTTGAGAACATAGAAAATTTTCATTCATAAATTGAGTACAACATAGTCATAATTTTATGCATGAAAATTATCCCAAGCAAATAGTTGTCTACTAAGAAAACAAAACATGATTGCAAAAAGATACATTGAAAATAGCTAAAGTGATCCCCAAATCAATCCTCGGCATCAGATTCAAACGGCTCAACATCCCCTTGCTCGTATGGAATCGACATATCCAATGTCACTCCAGCGGCAGCAAGGGCTTTGAGCCAGCCATGTTTGAATCCCTAATTCTCGAATTTGGGGACCTCTTCTACATAGTTTTCAAGAGCGGCACTTTTTCCAGCCTCAATTGGTTCGGACGCCTCGGAGTCGACTTTCTCCTTTGCCGCCTTCAACTCTGCCAACTCGGCGTCCAACTTGGCAAGCGCCTCCTTGGCTAACTTGAGCGATGCCTCGTTCGGGTTGGCCCTCTCCTCGGCTTCCGAAGTCTCTCGTGCCTAGGCGGTCTTGTGTACCAAGTTTTGTGCAAATCCAACGCCGTTTGGAGATTTTGGGGTGTTAACCCCTCCAATTCAAATTTCTAAATGAACTAGTTTGCCTAGAGTGAAATCCGGCTCTAACTCCAAAACCAGGAACCCGATTGGAGTCCTGTCTTCTCCCACAAGTCTCTTGTGCCTAGACGGTCGTGTGTGCCAAGTTTCGTGCTAAATCAACGCTGTTTGATGATTTTGGGGCGTCAACACCTCCAATTCAAATTTCTTAAGGAACTAGTTTGCCTAGAGTGAAATCCGGCTCTAACTCCCAAACCGGGAACCCGATTGGAGTCCCGTCTTCTCCCACAAGTCTCTCGTGCCTAGGCGGTTGTGTGTGCCAAGTTTCGTACTAAACCTACGCCATTTCGTGATTTTGGGGCGTCAACACTTCGAATTCAAATTTCTTAAGAAACTAGTTTGCCTAGAGTGAAATCCGACTCTAACTCCCAAATCGGGAACCCGATTGGAGTCCCGTCTTCTCCCAAAAGTCTCTCGTGCCTAGGCAGTCGTGTGTGACAAGTTTCGTGCTAAACCTACGCCATTTACTGATTTTGGGTTGAATTCAAGTTTCTTAAAGAACTAGTTTGCCTAGAGTGAAATTCGACTCTGACTCCTAAACCGGGAACCCGATTCGAGTCTCCTCTTCTCCCACAAGTCTCTCGTGCCTAGGCGGTCGTGTATGCCAAGTTTCGTGCTAATCCAACCCCGTTTGGTGATTTTGAGGCGTCAACACCTCGAATTCAAGTTTTTTAATACACTAGTTTGCCTAGAGTGATATCCGACTCTAACTCCTAAACTGGGAACCCGATTGGAGTCCTGTCTTCTCCCACAAGTCTCTCGTACCTAGGCGGTCGTGTGTGCCAAGTTTCGTGCTAATCCAACGCCGTTTAGAGATTTTGGGGCGTCAACACCTCCGATTCAAATTTATTAATAAACTAGTTTGCCTAGAGTGAAATCCGGCTTTAACTTCCAAACCGGGAACCCCATTGGAGTCCCGTCTTCTCCCACAAGTCTCTCATGCCTAGACGGTCGTGTGTGCCAAGTTTCATGCTAAACCGACGCTGTTTGGTGATTTTGGGTCGTCAACACCTCGAATTGAAATTTCTTAAGGAACTAGTTTGCCTAGAGTAAAATCCAGCTCTAACTCCCAAACCGGGAACCCGATTGGGGTCCCGTCTTCTTCCACAAGTCTCTCGTGCCTAGACGGTCGTGTGTGCCAAGTTTCGTGCTAAATCAATGTCGTTTGGTGATTTTGGGGCGTCAACACCTCCAATTCAAATTTCTTAAGGAAGTAGTTTGCCTAGACCGAAATTCGGCTCTAACTCCCAAACCGGGAATCCAATTGGAGTCCCGTCTTCTCTCACAAGTCTCTCGTGCCTAGGCGGTCGTGTGTGCCAATTTTCATGGTAATCCAACCCCGTTTAGAGATTTTGGGGCGTCAACACCTCTAATTCAAATTTATTAATGAATTAGTTTGCCTAGAGTGAAGTCCGGCTTTAACTCCCAAACCGGGAACCTGATTGGAGTCCCGTCTTCTCCCACAAGTCTCTCTTGCCTGGGCAGTCGTGTATGCCAAGTTTCGTGCTAAACCGACACCATTTGGTGATTTTGGGGCGTCAACACCTTGAATTCAAGTTTCTTAAGAAACTAGTTTGCCTAGAGTGAAATCCAGCTCTAACTCCTAAACCGGGAACCTGATTCGAGTCTCGTCTTCTCCCACAAGTCTCTCTTGCCTAGGCGGTCGTGTGTGCCAAGTTTCGTGCTAATTCGACCCCGTTTGGTGATTTTGGGGTGCCAACACCTCGAATTCAAGTTTTTTAATAAACTAGTTTGCCTAGAGTGATATTTGACTCTAACTCCCAAACCGAGAACCCGATTAGAGTCCCGTCTTCTCCCACAAGCTCTCATGCCTAGACGGTCGTGTGTGCCAAGTTTCATGCTAAACCGACGCCGTTTGGTGATTTTGGGGCGTGAACACCTCGAATTCAAGTTTCTTAACGAATTAGTTTGCCTAGAGTGAAATTCGGCTCTAACTCCCAAACTGGGAACCCGATTGGAGTCCTGTCTTCTCCCACAAATCTCTCGTGCCTAGGCGGTCGTATGTGCCAAGTTTCATGCCTAGCCTCTATCCTTTTGGGTTGTGTACAGTTAATTTATGGTTATTCTTAGCTTAGAATGCAAACATACATTTTATACCTAATCTTCTGGTGGTGGTGTATATGGATTCTCGTCTCCTGTAGATTCCCTAAATGGCCGGTGGCCACTTGATGCATCAGGAACCTATGATAGTCAATACATAATGTGTTAATCATATTCGAATTTTATTATACATATGTACATATATGTTGTTTGGAAAAGGTAATAATTGAGTTAATTTTGTTAAATCATGAACTCACCCATTGATATGATGCACATCTTCCCAGACCAGTGATTGCGTAGATTTGTCCCTGCAAACCTGTTAACGCAAAAAAGCTAGCTAACTAAAATGATGGAAGATATTATATTCAATGAATTTATAGCTGAAGATCACAATTAATATCGACCAAACATGCCTGAAGTCCACCAACACCATCTGTTGCTTGAAGGGTTATCATTCCATAGTCTGAATGAGCAGAAGCACCAAAAATTTCTTCATCGGAAAGCCCCAATTCACCTGAAATCAAAATTGAGAGGCAAAAGAGCTTTGGTTAAATAGCCATTCTTTTTAGTTCCTACAAATCAATAATCATTTCCTTCAAAACAGCTTCAATCCAATCCACAACTGTCAAATTAAAGCATAATGTTTCAGATAAAGTGCACGCAGAGACGTTGAGAAAATAGTATTTTTTATCTAGTCAATTTCCAATTACATTTTCATATGCATCCTTAATTTTCTGGATTTCATCCTGCTATTGCAAAGTGTTGCAATTTTACTGACAGTAAGACACACAAACAGAATGCTATGCTCCTTTCATAAACCACACATCATACAGATTCCTGAATCTGTCCGTGTATGAACCCAGATAATGAAAAGAAAGACTATACAGACAAAGCAGATAAAGCCAAATTTTGATTTAACCAAGATAGTGTAGAAGACGAAGAAATGACATTGGTGGATTGAAAGCCCCAACTTTCTGGAAGAAGTTTTCATCCAAGTTTACAGCCAGAGCAATTAAAGAGATTAACTTTTTTCCAGCAGTCCTGAGGCAACAAAAATCAACACTAGCCAAAAGTCACACACAACCTTGTTCTTATCAATATAAGGAATTATGAGCTATTTGATCAATCAAAACTGATGCACCACTTTTTACTAAGGCATGTTTATATAAAAGCCATCTAAACTATTCCAAGCATTAAGTATCACATCTCAGGCCCCAAAAATTAGTTAAAAAGACAGAAGTTTTTCAAAATCATGTAAATGCTTAAGAAAGTCATAGAATTAACATGAGCAAAACTTCTGATTTTGTATGAAGAAATTAACGTTGATTAAAGGACATGAACTTACTAGGCAGACACAGTTTAAGTGAATAGATCTACTATGATTTCTGATCACTTTCTACTCTCTTTTCAGAGTGTGACACAAGAATAAACAATGGGTAAAACTTACAGGACTCTTTCATAGTAAGATTCAACAGTAGGTCTCCAAGATGGCAAAACTTCTGGAATTTCCTAGCCAGACAACACCAGAAATAAAATGTTTTCACCTCAGGAATCATGCACCCGTTGTACAAAATGTATGCTAAATGACAGATCACAAAATGCAGGAGAAATAAAATCGTTATATGAGAACACGCTAAGAGAACATAAACAAGTGAAAGCACACAAAATTATTAAAATACCTTCTGAAGGCCATTGATTTAGATTACTATGACTTGAAATGCTTTCCAGGGGACCAATATAGAAACTCTCTTTTGAGTCACCTGTACTCCAATCAGTAGAAGACAGTCAACCCTAAGTTCTTTTCTCCATTACACCAATGAAATATGTATTAATGAGAAAAGAACCTATTAGAGTTTCTCCATCTAATATCAATCATACCATCAATCAATGAGTTTCAACCCTGGCTTTAAACTCATGAATTGGAAAAAAGTATCTTTAGGACCACATCCTGTTTAGACTGAATCACAAAATCTTTGTAAAATCATTGTCAAACTTGCTATTATTTGTCAATTTACGCTTCCACCGAAAGTTGAGAGCATTCATTCAAATTTTCAACATATTCAATCTCAATACTAAACTCATACACTTTTCTGAATGTTTTTTTTTTTAATCTAAAAATTTCAGCTTACATTGGCACATTTCCCACTTAATATACAATTTGAAAGCATCACAAAATTTGTCAAAAGTGAGAAAACAGTAAAACCTTTAGAACTTGAAGAAGGGTTGAGATTCTCGGCATACAGTGGCGTATAACCTCTATTTTCTTTGCAAACCAATTTCATCTTCTCTTTAAGGGGGAGTGAGAAGAATCTTTTGTTCTCATCAAACACTTGCTTAAGCAACTCTTGCTCTACCCCATGGTTTATGAAGTAAAAGAAACCACATTCTATGCATGCCTACACCACACATCCGAATACTAATGAATTTGGGAACAACATGATGAATCATTCCAAAAAACAAATCAAATTAATATTATCATTGTGATAGCTTCATACGCATTACTGGCCCATTTCTAACAGTTTATAAGCTTTCCAGTTAATTGGCTTACCTTAACAATTAACAACCATATGCTTATCAGAAAGAATTCTTTAGGCTGTGTTTGTGGGGAAAAAATAAAAAAGGAAAGAAAATGTAAAGGGTGGGAAAAAAAAAAAGAAGCTTAATTCAAATTTCCCTTCCCTTTTCTTTTCCCCATGTTACAAAATGAGGAGTTGTTTGGATAACCCAAAAAAATTAATAGTATCATTGCACCAAAAAAAAAATTTCAAATTATTTAAGTTACTTTAGTCTCATAAATATACACAAGATGAACCAAACATTTTGACATATATTTTCAAAAAATTTTTTTTTAAAAAAACAAGCAAACAAATTATAAACAACTTCACCAAACAAGGCCAGAGTTGAAATGGAGCCTTCTAATTTTGGAACAAGGAAAAAATTAATAAAAAACTACAACAAAACACCTATCAAGATGAACAACAATAGAAAATATTAACTATGAAAAATATTATAGACCTATTATTTTGTATAATAGTTTCAGAATTATAAATAGTATTTTTCATAAATCAATAGTTAATATTTTTGTCACATGCAACACTAAATAATTTACATGAATCAAAATTACATGAATAAATTACATGAGTAATGCAACACTAAATTATTCATGTAAATCACACAAAATAATTTACACTAAGGAGACATATATAATACATATATATATATATATATATATATATGGAGAGAAAGAGAGCATACGCTGAGTGAGTGAGAGAGGAGCGCTTGAGATTGACTGAGCTCGCGCGAGAGAAAGATAGAGACGCCGCACCACCGCTAGTCATAATATGCCATCCCCGCACCACCGCTAGCCATCGTCGACAGCGATTGAGCCTGCTTGCCATTCGTCGCTCGTCGAGAGAGAAATCGCCATTCGCCATTCGTCGATTGTTTGGGGATTTTGAGGAAAAAAGATCTGTTTCAAAGATTTAGGGATTTTGGATCAAAATGATCGAGCGCCAAACAATGGGAGAAGCGGGACAAATTTTTTTATTACTTTTTGTGACGGTAAATTTAAACTGTCGCAAATGATAAATAAAAATAGGTAAAACGACGTCGTTTTACTAATGGTTTTTTTTGTGACGAACATTTGCCATCGCAAATTGTCCACTATTTGCGATAGCAAACTTCTGCCGTCTCAAAAAATTTCTTTTTGCGATGGTTTAAACTGCCGTCGCAAAAGATCATTTTTTGCTACGGGAAACGCTCTGTCGCAAAAGTTCCGTGTTATATAGGGCCTTTTCTTGTAGTGTAAATTTTGAGTTTTATTGATGTACTAAATTTTGTTATGTTACAAGTTTGTTTTTTGGAAAAAAAGGAAAAAAAAAAAATCAATGAAAGAAATTTGTGTAATGTAATATTTTTTCCAAATGAACAAAAGTGGTTAATTTGGTTTGATTTTCAAAATTAATTTTGAAAGATAACTTTAAAAAAAAAAAAGTTACAAAATTTGAAAATTTATTTAGTTGTATATTTAAAATTTTTATTTTTAAAAATCCAGTCTAAAATCTTAAAAAATTTTGCCCCAAATAACACTTTTGAAGCAAATAATGAAGTACAATCCTTGCTGTGGAGAAATGGTTTGGAAATACTCTTCTGATCCCGGGAGACGCTCGTGATCCTTAGATAGACACCTGAAAAGAAATGAACACTCTGGTCGGGGGTGCCGGAATTAGCACTCCGACGGACAAGTCAGTCTCTACTCTCTCTGGTTACTTGTATTTTAAGTTAAATGTAATAGTTCTCACATATCTTTCTCTGATGGGTGATCCTGTATTTATAGTATTCTCTTTGGGCCTTTGGGCTGGGCCCATCCTTGATCCTTTACATGTACCTCTACTCGGCCTCTGTTCTACTGGCTGGGGTACCAGTTATTTTATTCGGCTCTTCGATTGACTAGGGTATGTGCCAAATAGAGGTTATGTTCCGGTCCGGACATGCTCATTCGTCCCTATGGATCCGATGGAATTTGGCTCCCACAATTGCCCCCCAAACACGTACTAGCATCAGTTAGTCGGCGTGTTTGGCTTCTAGCCTGGGAAGTCAAAAATTCAGCGATTAACCTTCTTCCCAATGCGTGTCAGAACGCGTACATGCTTCTTGGTCATTGTAACACTTTCCCGGCCCTTCGTATACTGCCTCCATTTAGTATGATTTGAAATTGTCTCTTCGAATGTATGTTCTGAATGTTCAAGGATATCTTGCTCGCCCTCTAGTGTAACTCCTTCTCTTTGCGGCTTCTACAACTCCTTATCTCTCGTTTCTCCCTTCGTCTCTTGTAAGTCTTCTCCTCCTTCATTTTTGACCCTGCTTTCTTATTTGCTTTTAATTTTCCATAATCCTTGGGTTTGGCCAAAAAATGGCAAAATATCTGAAGGAGCTCCTTTTGGCGGATCGAATCTCCGGTTTTCGACGCCATTTTTCCATCCCCGATGATGTCCATCTGTCACTTTTGGCAGACAGCACCACTGATATGGAGAGGGAAGATGAGAGTACAATCATCTTTCCTCTCCTATCAATTGCTGAGGGCAGAGTCCGCTTTTCTCTTCACCCACTTTTGAGGGTTGTTCTTAGATACTGGGGTCTAATCCCTTCCCAGCCCAATGTGAATTTCTTTCGCATCATAATGGAGATCGTAGAACTAAATCTTCATCTTAGGATCAATTTAGGTATACCTGCCATTCGGCACTGTTACATCCTAGCCAAATCTACTGGTCGGCTAGGGCGTTACTTTCTTAGAGCCAAGGATACTGATCATCACTTAGTGACTATGCTCGCCAGCTCTGGCAAGCGTGTCGACGACGTGATGGTCGTTGTCTGCGATAATTAAGAGTTCAGTGAAGGCGAAGATCTCCTAGACCCGGTGCCGAGGCGAAAGGGCGAACCAGGTGGCCGATTAGATCATTTGTTTCTGTTATTTCCATATCTATATTCGTATTCGACACTACATACATCTAACCATTTTGTTTGTGCAGGCAGTGACTTGAAGAGAGTGTTGGTTTCAGATGATGACGTTGTTCTTGTAGCAATCAAAACCATGCTACAGTTCGTCGGCTGTTCAAACCTTCAAAAACAGGGGAGGGCGGCCCACATTTTACTTCGGTACGAGCCGACTTACATGACATTCTCAGTGGCGGACAACATTCCGATCACGCGAGGCGACAGCCATCTCACAGCCCTCATCTTCCACAGTTTCAAGAACTTGAGACAGATTGGTTTAGAAACATCCGATTTTGAACACGTATAAGAACAAGAGGCCGAACTAATCGCTGAGGACCCGGACCGGTTGGCAGCGGAAGTTGACGAAGCTATTAACTCAGCCTTTGAGGAAGCTGGGTTGAACTCGTTCGATCTTCCGTCTACATCAGGCCAAGGGGACGCCTTTGGAGATATTTTTACAAATTTGGGAGACCTTCCCGGCGATTATTCTGAGGATATGGCTAAGGAAAATCTCACGCAGATGGCACGAAAGAGAAACGCCGAACGCATGGTCGCCCGACAGAAAGCCGAGGCCATCTGTTCCGGACTTGTCCCGACTGAATCTGTCGTACCTACTGTTGTAGAAGAAACGGCAAACGTTGACGTGACCGAGGTGGAGAAGGCGGCCGATCTTCCGAATCCAGAAGAACAGCCGATTCTAGATAGGGGAGAGAAGCGTGCCGCCGAGGGCGAGGCTGGCTCTGAGGAGAATCCTGTCGATAAACGGCAGCACTTAGAGGAATCGGATGTGGTTCCTTTCGTTGTTCAACCCAAGATAAAAAAACATGCCGATCTCCTCCGAAGCGTCGGCCGTAAAGGATCCCGCTGTAGCTTTAAGCTTGGCTGCCTCGGTTTCGTTGTCGACTGACAAGGCAACCTTTCGGGCGGAGCTGGATTTGGTAGCGATAGCATTAACTGCCCAGTCAGCCCTCCTGGTATGTACATTGCAACTCCTTGTTTTGATTTTGTTTGCAAGCGGTATTTCTTGGTATGTGACGATCCCAACTTGTTTTGCAGACGGTCGGAAGGATCGCCGAATTGGGCTGCTGCCAGCACGATGCCGTTGAAAGAATTGGTAGTTTGCAGTCGAAATTGAAGGGTCAGCGGAGTAGGCTGAGTTTGAGGCGATGAAAGTGACAATGGAAAGTGCGCGGGCCGAAACAGAGAAAGAAAGGGCGCAGACTGCCGACCAACTCAGAGACTTGTGGGAGAAGACGGGGCTCCAATCAGGTTCCCGGTTTGGGAGTTAGAGCCGGATTTCGGTCTAGGCAAACTAGTTTATTAAGAAATTTGAATTGGAGGTGTTGAAGCCCCAAAATCTCCAAACGGTGTTGGTTTAGCATGAAACTTGGCACACACGACTGCCTAGGCACGAGAGACTTGTGGGAGAAGACGGGACTCCAATCGGGTTCCCCGTTTAGGAGTTAGATCCAGATTTCCATCTAGCCAAAATTATTTACTTAATTATCTTTGTAATTATAAAGTAGTTAATTTTTTATGTTTTTGTGTAATTAAAATATTAATACATAATTATATTGTCATTAATTATTTTTATTTTTTGTTTTCAGATATTTCTCGAGTAGCAGCTTGCTTATTATGGAATACAGGCGTGTGAAGATTGCGATTTACTTTTGTTTTTGTTACCCATGGAAGAATCATAAGGGAAACTTTTGTTTTTGATTTAAGTTATTTTGAATTGTGAACAACATTATGTATGTAAACATTGTATGTCTATTATGCAATATTATGTAGTGAGATAATTTTGCTAATGTGTTGTAATGAATGAATGCAAGAATATTTTTATTATGGATGAATTGTTATTTTTATACTAGAATCTTTATATTATTATGTAATTATTGGTTTCTTTTTCAATTATTTTTCATTTAATACCGGAAATTTTCATATTTTTAATAATTTTATTGCAAATTTTTTTTTTTTGTTGAGACGGCACCACATTGCCGTCGCAAATGATATTGGCAGAGTTGAGACAAAAGCCTTTTTCGATGATACTCTTTGCTGTCGCAAATAATCTTTTAGCGACGGCGTATCGTGCTTTCTCAAATATTTTTTTAGCGACGGCATTTTTGCCATCACAAATAACACTTTTAGCGACGGCAACATAGTGCCGTCTAAAAAAATCTTAGATTTTTTCATATCAATGGCGATGGTAAAATTTCGTCGCAAAAAGGCAACTTTGCCGTCGCAAAAAAAAAGCGACGGCAACGTGCCGTTGCTAAAAGTCATCTGCCGTCGCAAAAAACCTTTTGAGACGGCATTTTGAGTATTTGCGATGGCATTTTGCTGTCACAAAAAGTCAAATTTTGTTGTAGTGTTAAACATAATTCAACACAATTTATTGGCACATAATCTACTATAAACATAATTTAATAACAATTAGGTTAATTAAAATAGTAATATGACACTCATTAAGTCATGTAGAAACTAAACCCTATGCTTGTGTTTTGTAGTTGTCTAGGAATGTTTTTGGGACATGAGCAAACAATAAATTTTTTACTATTATTGTTATGTTTTATAATTAAGAGAGAGAGAGAGAGAAAAAAAACACAATAAGAAAAAAAACAAAAAACAAAAGAATGATAGGAGAAAGAATGTCTCTCAATGAGTGAACGCAAATTGTATGAAACATATAAAACAGTCCTTTTCTTTTCTTTTTTTTTTTTTTGAATATTTATTTCCTGAAGCTAGGTGGGGGTAATTGCCTCAATTAAACTAGGGTTCTCCTAGGGTGCATGTTATCACAAAAAATGTAATATAAAATTTTATAACATCAATCATAAAATACATAATCTCATTACAAATTGACATAATAAATAATATCATAATTAAATTACAAAGTTTTATAACATTAACCACAAAATTGTGGATATTTTTGTGGTGAGAGTATACATTTTATAGTTAATATTACAAAATTTTATGATAAAATTATACATTTTATGATATGGTGCATATGGTATGCACCAACCATAGTGTTTTCCCTTGAACTAATGTAATACTACACATCATTGTCATCCATTTTTTTTAGCACAAATATGATTAATTGAATAAGTTAAGATTATTTGATTATTTATTTATTTATTTTGATAATATAGATGACGGGACATACAAAATGAATGATTAAGATTATCAAAACATAACCTATGATGGGCCTACAAGCTTAAACGGCACTCTTTCAGATCTTGACTTCAAGAGAAACCAGACTCTTAGAGTCTGTTTGGTAATGTATATATTTAGAGGTAATTATGAATTAGTCTCATTAAAGAGACTTAAATACCATTAAGTCATTATTTTTTATTCAATGATAAATTTATCAGTCTCTCTTATTTTTATGAATAAATTTACAGTGATAAATTTATCAGTCAAGACTTGTAGGTAAATAAGTCCAGTCAATAGGATTGACTTGTAAATACCCCTTATATTTACCCTTTTTTTTTTTTATATATATTTACATAATTTTTGAAAATTATAAACAAAACTCATTTGATTTTTATTTTCGTTTTCAAAAAGTTATAAATAGTTTGCAAATTTATTAAATTTTGTAAACACAAAAAAGTTAGTTTTGTTTTCTATTTAATTTTTTTGACATTTCTTTTTATTTCTCCCATTCTTTCCAACTACCACTCATTACTCTTCCATTCCCGATCTACCCCATCATCATCTCAATTTTTTTTATATAATAAAATTAAAAAAATTAAAATATTATACTTAATGTTCATTTTTACTCATTTATTTATCATATTACATATTTTAACTCTCATTAATTATAAATTATTATCTATAATATACTATATTACCTTTAATTTTAATTTTAATTTTTTTTAAAACTACAAAACTAATCTATTCCCGCCCTTGATATGATATGGGACAAAGGTGGAGGATGACAAATTTGCTCGAAACTTGTCTTTTTGCCATTCATTCTCATCACCATCGGCCACACTCATAACAATAACTTCATCCGTCAACCACTTTCAGCACTAATACAATAATATTTAAAGACAAGAAAACTTAAAAGAATCTCATTTTTATTAAAAGTGTGATTAGAAAAATTAAAATAATAGTTTAATCACACTCAAATAATTGAGTAAGACAACATTTATTTTTAATCTCTTCTTCCAAATATGTGTGATTATATATATATTTTTAATCACAATTCGTAAATAAATGTGATTGCATATATCTTTCCAATCTTGTTTTTATTTAAAATAACAAAAATAATTTGAAGTTCTAGAAAAAAGAGTTTTAGAAGAGCTCTAATATAGTGGTCTTTTCTATAATGTGAATTGTGGTCTATTTTTTATTTTTTTTTATCAGCTTCGTAAAACTCAAATTAAAATTCTACTCTTACCCTATATGTGGATTGAGAGATTTGGAGAGAAAATAAAATAAATGGAGAGATATGCATTTCTCTTATTTGTTTGGATAACTTAAATGGAGAAAAATTGAAAGAAATGCAGAGAAATAAAGAGAAACGGAAAGAAACTCATTTCTTTTATAACCCTCATTTTCAATCTTTCCAAAAAGTAGAGAGATTGGGCGAGAAAAAAACAACAGATTCTTATATTTTTTCATAATACCAATTTTGTTCCTGTAAAAATAAAAGAAATAAAATGATTGATAAAATATAAACAGATTATTTTAATAATATAACATAAAATAATTTTTTTTTTCTCTTTTTACTTTTATAAAATCTAACCAAATAAAAAAAAAAATTACAATTACTTCTTTTCTCTTATTCTCTCTTATAATTTAAATAATCATTTCTTTACCTTACTTTTGTCTCTTATAATTTAAATAATCATTTCTTTTACCTTACTTTTGTCCTGGTTCCAAACATATAGTGCTAGAGTTCTTTTTAGACTTCTGTATTGCTCATAAAATAATTTCTAATTGATTTAGATTGAGGCCAAACACACGACTCTTCCTTATAAACCCTAGGGACTCCCTCAACCATGCTCTCTCTCTCGATCGACCACGACAACACCAAATCTACCTCCACTGCCACCACCGCTTCTTCTTCTTTCTCCAAGTCTGCCGCCGCGGAGTATCTGATCGTCAGTTTCCGGCGGCGGCGGAGTCGGAGAGAGCCGGCGGTGGCGAAGCAGTTATCATTACCGGTAACTTCCCGGTGAGGGGTGAAATTTGAAGAAGTCTTTGATTATGAAGAAAGCACAAGAAAGCAACAAGATCAAGCACACCTTCATCCCGAATGCTGTGAGGTTTCTTTCCTCTTGTTTGAAGATTGTGTCTTCCAACGTTCGCTCCGCTGGAGCCTCCGTCGCCGGTTCTATCTCCGGTGCTCCTGACGACCTCCACAACTCTACTTCTGTAAAATTTTGTCCATCTATACAGGTTCTATATCTGATTCTATGAATTAGTTTTTATATTCTTAAACTTATTATTAACACCAGCTCTTCAATAAATTTTTGAATAATGCTTGGGACCCCTTTTGGGTCACCCCCTCACCCCTTTTGTCACGTGGCAGGTGGTGATTGGAGGAGTAGGAAAAAAAAGAAAAAGAAAAAGAAAAGGTGGCCAATGAGAGAGAGAGGGGGTCAAAGGGGTGGGTGGAAAAGGGGATGAATCATTGTTGAAAATTTTTTTAACACCTTTTTTTTTTTCACCTAACAGATTGCCATTACTGGATACATTATTCTTGAACTATTTGATTAGATGTTTGGGCTATTAACTATTTTTAATGAATTTAATGGTTGATTGGAGAGACTGGGTAAGAAAATATTCAAAAAATTATTTTATCCTTACAATTTATATTTTTTATTTAATATATAATTTTAAATTAACAACACTAAAAAAATAATTTATAAATGTTCAAAAGACTATTTTATCTTTTTTTAATTATTTATTAAATAATAGCATGGGTTAAAATGGATATTTCATACATTAGTCATGAGATACCAATTTCATGGAAATGAAAATAGTCTCACCGTTCCTTCCAGATACAATAATTCCTCGTATGAGGGACTAATAGTCCAGAGGAATAATAGTCCGGAATTAAAAAATTGAACTAAACAATAGACTCCGAATCCCATAAAATAATCCCTCAGCACAAACATGTTCTAAGTGGGACTCACTTGAACTCATGAATGTTTGATTCTCGCATTTCTTATTCCCTACTTTTTTCAGAATTCAAATTCCAAGTACTTGCAATTCAATTCATTAAAAACCTTGCTCGACATCGAAATAATTAAGTATTGATTTTTTTTTAAAAAAAAAAAAAAATTCTGATTGTAGTTGTGTTTTTAATTTTGATGTTATCATTGTTTGATTGCGTGGTTTTAGTTGATAGTAGTTGAGTTTGGATTTTGATTTTGGTTTATTAGTTTCTAGGAAATTATAAATAAAATAAAATAATAATAATTTAAGTCAATTTTTGTCAGCAAAATTTCCTTTCTTTCTATTTTGGTTGTGTGAGGGTTTCTTTCTTTTGTGAGCAAAGAGAGGGTTTCTCAAAGTTACCAATATCAGTTTTGTCGTAATTATTCTTGAAGCTCTCCTATTGGAGAGAAGAATTTGGGGGAAAAGGGGGAAGAGATCATGGTCTTTAACAGAGATGAATTGGCTTTATTTATGCTAATCTCTTGTAAATTCCTCGAAATCAAAGGGATTTTTTTAATCTGTATCATCAATTAGTTGGCTATATTTTTGGACTGTTTTAGGGTTATTTATCTGTAGGATTGGAAGACTGAAAGATACAAGGAAATTATCAAGTCTGGAACTGTAAGTAGGAATTTATTTGCTCTTCATTTGTGATTACTTGTTAGTTCATCTATGTGGGTGATTATTCTGGATGAATGATTTCCAAGAAAATGGATTTGTCTTGTTAATGGGCAAGTGGAGCCCAGACCTGGAGTTTGAGATTGATGGATGGGGCCAAGGCTGCTGTAAGATAGACATTTTACCTTATAAATGCAATTGTCACTTTGTCATGGCTCTTAAGTTTTCATTGTATTTGCATATGTTATCCACAGTTAATTAGGGAAGACTACTTTTCTTGCCAAAGTTTAGTCAAATTCCATGTTCTCTTTCTTACATGAAGAATCAAATTTGAATTAACCTTTTTGGCTGACGATTATAGGGTAAATAATTAGCAGTCTGCTCTGCTGCAACTAAAAAAGTTATTTATCAATCCTCAAGCTTTTTTTTTTTTTTTTTGGTCTATCAAATTTAAATTTGATGAAAAATTGCTCAAAATCCATCTCCAACCTTTTCATAAAATGCTTATCAAATCAAGGGACAAACACTTTTTTCATCGCATTGAGTGAAGCATTTGGAATATTCTCTATATTGAGTGAAGCATTACCAAATTTCATCAACATGAGCAATAGGCAAGCAAAGTTCTCCTGAACTAGGTGCTTTGGCTTATGCTCCCATTTAGGTATTATTCTCCTGAACCAGGTGCTAGTGGCAGAAATAAGGTCAAGAGACATGTGCATATATTTAGTTCTTATAAGAAGGTAAAGCTCTTACAACAAGTGATAAACATGTATTAAGGTAGGCTGATGTACACCATAACTCATGACAATGCTTAATTTGGTAGGTTTATGATTTGTTTGACTAGAGTGTTTACATATATTTCAATGTGCGGTATTTTATTTGAGTTTTTTTTATTTTCTGAAATTTTTAGCTCATATAAGAAGGTAAAGTTCTTGTAAGTGAACAAACATGTATCAAGGTAGGCTGATGTACAACATAAATTGAGTATTTACATATATTTCAAATGTGTCATATGTGACTTGAGCTTTTAATTTTCTGAAAGTCGAGCATTCATGCTATATTAGTTCTAGGTGCTTTAACTTTCTAATAATTTAATCTCATTATGTGAGTGTATAATCTAGGTGTCTATATTTATATGCATGTAGGTTAGTGTCATTGCCTTTTTAATTTTGGGCCGCGATATGACCCTTCATAGTTCATGGGGATGCTCTGAACTTATAGATTCTTTAGCTAAAGCTTATTTGTGGTTCTCATTTTTCTCTTCCTTTTTGATTTCAGTAATTTGTGTTTGTCATGTGTTCTAGTTTTTGCAACTAACTTCTGCAGCTTGTTGGGTCGTGTGCTGCTATTTGTTACATGGCAATTTGGGTTGGATACACAGACGTGCACTTAATCTTTGGTGTTTCTACGACCTTAGAGCATGTGCAGCTCAGCAGGGAGAGCTGAATAATCAGTTGAAGCAGTAGCTCTGGAAGATCTAGGTATGCTATTCCAGTCTGTTTCTCTACCAATGATAGGAATTACGACTTCTTTTGTAACTGACTTTAGATACTCAGTATGATAGTTTTATCTGTTTCTCATTCTTTAGATGTTCTAGCCAATTCTTATTCAAGCTTTGAAACTTGATGTTGTTGATGAATATTTTTTTAGATCATGAATGCTTCATTCATTTGCTTGCCTAGTGCTCATGTTATAGGGCTGTAAACACGCGAAGTTCTTCTGGTCATTTGCTTTGTTGTCATCCATGAACTTGTTCAAGTGCTCATTAATGACATCATTCTTTGTTCTACAGGAGAAACAAAATTCCAAGAAGGAAATTGAATAGCTTGAGTTGATGTCTTGTTTTTACAAGCGTCAGTTCGCCAAGAGCATTCACTAGCATACCTAATAAACCAGGTATCCCATGGCTTAAACACACTAACCAACAATTAGCTGCATGCATGGAAGCTGCCTATAATTATAATATATCTTTGCATTATTAGCCAAGCAAGTTGACTCAAATCTTGTTGACCTTTGATCCATTTTGCTTTGTTGTCGCTTCTTTTAGGTCTCCAATTATAGGTGGCTTTTTGAATGCAAATATAGTTTATTAGAAGACGTTTACAAAGTGCTTGCCTACTACTAGATGTTTGTGACTTTGTGCAGATGTGTGTATATATATACACATATGAATTTTCCTGTGTATATGGTGATCTCATTTGCTCTTTCTTCATGTTGATTCCTTTCCATTTTTGATTTAAATGTAGTGCCTCTGTTCAGCTTCTTTCTTCATAGTATATTTGTTTTTTTTGTTTTTTTTTTTCTTTTCAGAGAGGAGGTAATAATTGTAACACAACACTCTGAAAATGGCAAACATAGCTGGGTCTTATGTCAAAGTTACAAGTAACTTCTGAATTGAAAACTCATCCCCACTGTGATTCATTCCTTCCTCTATGATTCATTCCGTCATATATAGCACCATGTTCTGAGATTAATGAACCACCTTTTCATCTTCTAAGGTTTTTATTCCGTCAAATAAGGTTTTTATTTTTAATAACCTTTGTTTTTGTTCTATTTATTATTTATTTAATGGAAGTGGTTTAGTTTTATCAACTTAAGCACTAACTAGGGACAAAATGATCTGTTATTGCCAGCTGAAGCAATGAAATTTTAGTATATTGAAGTTGTGGCTTTTGTATTATTTTGAGATTGGCCAAGCACTACGTTAGTGCTCTTTCATCCCTAACCCAAACCCTAATTCGTTTTTGAAAAATGCTTGGGAGCACTAAAAAATGAGCACTAGGAGGAGCACTAATGATGTGGCCGTGGGCCCAGCCCTCTTTCTATGCCTTCTTTTCTTTTTTTTTTCTTTTTTTTTTGCCATTCCCAATGCATTAGTGCTATTAGTGGTGTATTTTTTAGTGGTCTAAATCATTGTTGTTCATTTTTATATGAATTACCCTTTCTTCATTTTCCACATTATGGAGTTTGAATTATTTCATTGGCCCCAACTCCACGGGCTGCTCTCTAGAGAGACTCTAAATCATGTTACGTCTTGATTAAGAGGGTAACGTGATTCTGTGATATTCTTTTACTAGAAAATGCTTGACATGTCAACAAAACACTGAAGTATCCCTCTTTTGTGTAGTTTATTGCTCAGCACTCTCTGCATTTTAATCTGTTCTTCTTTGTTCATAGACCACTTATCAAGAATTTTATATTTTTCCTTACCTATCCAGTTGATGTATCTGGATGATGTTGCCCCTGCATCTAAGTTCAAGTCTAGTTGATTAATTTGAACTCTGATAAATTCTATAAACTTTTTAGATTTTTTTTCTTCTAATTTTTGTTTTCTTTAATTTTGAACAAATTGATAAGTTTATTTCTATGCCTCTGGCGACCTCTGAACTAATTTGTGTTTTCATTATTCAAGTCAGAAATTACTTGGAGAGATGGAAAATATGGTCAAAGAAAATTGAATATTCAAGAACTTTGAGTTTTCCTTAAGTTTTTTTATTGAGATTTTTATTGTGTAATCACAATAAAAAAAACCTTTTATTCCTTAATTTTCATTGTATATATTTTTGCAAAATTCGAGTTTCGTTTATAAAATATATAAGGTTATTAGCTATTCATATGTGGTCAATATTGTGATTCGAAGGAAATTTTTGTACAAATAATATTGATTATATTTTAGATATTAGTTCCATTTAGATTTTAATCACAATCTATACTCTATAATTGATAGTCACATTTTGTGATTGAATCTTTTTTTTATCACACCAATCGTGATGAGAAATATATATAATTGTGATATTATCTCATTATTAATCATGGATCATGTAAGTTTGATCTTAGGTTTTATTGATTATTAATCACACTTAAAATTTATGATCTAAATGTTTATTATCATGGTCAAAACACGGAATGGAATTATCTTTTAATGACAGTCAAAAAGTGTGAAAAAAATTATCCGTAACAACCACTCTCAAATATCACACTTTGACAAAATAAAAAATCAATGATTAAATAACGTACATCATACTTAAAATCAATAATCTATTTATGAGTTGGTAGTAGTGTGGCCACCACTTCCCTCGACCACTAATTACCTTCCATCACCACAAATTATGTCACAGCCTAAATCCGTCCATATGGGTTTAGCACTGTAACTGGCCAATAATCCGAGATTACCGAAGGCCTGCTTAACAGTAAAACAGTAATATGGAGTGCAGGGGCTGGCGGAAGCCCAAACAGTAATTAAAAGATGTCCAATGAGCTGACAGTCTGTATGCAAAAGGACTTTTCATATCATATTCACATTCGTAACTGAAACATATTTACATCATATACAGAAGCATTCAGTACAGTATAATTCTTAACCAGTCGGTACAAAATAGAGACAGATAGGTGAGACTAAACACCTCAAAAGCAGCCTTAGCTTGAACAGATCTGGAACCTCGAAGTGAGGCGCAAAGGTTGGCTTGACAAAACAAGAGCTTAGCCTGACGCTCCTAACTCCGGTTCGGTGCCTGAACACCTACATATATATATAAACAGTGAGTTAAAGCCCAGTGAATAACATATGCGTAAAGAGGTTAAGAATGAATGTCCTTTCTGTATTTAAAACAGTCAGTTATAACAGTATATCAGTCATTCAGTTAGTGGCTCATATTTCACACCATAACAGTCATTTATAAATCATAATAGTCATATGTAGTACATCCAATAGCACACAATACAGTAGGTCTTATCAGACCGAATAGTCAGTTGATGGCCATTATATCAATAAACAGTAGTGGTTCCAACATGGGAACCGACAGAGATCTCTGTAACAGTATCAGTAGCAGTACAGTAACAGTAAGTGCTAAGGATGCCACGAATATAGTTCGCAAATAGGACAAACATCCATTCAGTAGGAAATATCATTTCAGAAAGCAGTACAGTTGATCATTCAGAACATATTCATGATTGAACATATCTTTACAACATTGTTACTCACAGAGCACTGGGCTACAGATAGGCTAAAGCGTCCTCGGATGCCAACCCTACACAGTTACAGAATGAACACACACTAAGCTACACAGTTGGGAAATAATAACTTAATCCCTAATTTGCCTCGGTGTGGTTCTACATCAATATCCTCCTTAAGATGCCCTAAACATGCCCTAGGAATGCCTAGGATGGAAATAAGATGCAAAGATATACTTTTAAACACTTTTCCAAAATCTTGTTGAAACAGGGTCCCGCTCGAGCGTGTCTTCCTACGCTCGAGCAGACATGCAAACAGAAGATCCCCGCTCGAGCGTCACTTTCCACGCTCGAGCGGACTGTAAAATATGACAAAAGTACTGGATGCATGAAATTTACGCTCGACGGGCGCTCGACCCACGCTCGAGCGTGAGACGCAAGTCCTCGCTCGAGTGTGCATTCCCTCGCTCAAGCGGACTGTCAAACACATGAAAGTACTGGGTACACGCATTTCTAGCTCAAGCGTCAATTTCCCTGCTCAAGCGGACTGCATGAACTCAGTGTGTACGCTTGAGCGGGAGTTACCCGCTCGAGCGTGAGTCCAAAATCTGAAATTTCCAGATTTGAACCTTAAGCTCAAAACTCAACTTTAAGGCATCAAATTCAATCCTTTTGGGCCAATTTTCTGGAAAGCACCTGTAAGGTCTTAGTATAACATGATTCAAAGCCCAATTTGTAAAATCAAGGCCCAAAGGTGAGTCAATTAAACATAATTTCAAACAAAACTTCAAGAACATGAAGTGTATGCAACATGCAAGAATTTAAACAACTTTAAAGCTTTAAATACTTGTTCAAAAGAGTTATTTTCCTCAAGAACATGATGAATTCATGAACTATAACATAAACATGAGCATGCATGTGGAAATTCATGAAGAACAACCTCCAAATTCAAGAATATGAACATGCATGCATGGATTAAGCCTCAATTCAACAATTTAAGCCATGTCTTGACTCTAGATTTCAAAATTAGCATGGACCATGCAAGTCACAACTTAAAATCATAAACCAAAGGATGAACATCCTACCTTAGGTCCTCAATTACAAGAATGGAAGCTCAATTATGCACTTATCCTTCAAATCTTCTAGGTCTCCAAGCCAAACCTTCAAGTTGAACTTGATTCCTCCCTCTCTCTCTCTCTCTCTCTCTCTCTTAGTCGGTTCAAGCTCTCAAAATGGCTAAAGAAGTGTTGTGTCAAAAGTGTATGAGGTGTGATGAAACAAGTCCTAGAGTTGTCCACTAAGTGGCAAAAGGGTAGATAAGTCTAACTTAATTAATCTAGCTCTATTTAATCTAATTAAATCATACTAAGTCACATTTCAATTAAATGTACTATAAAATCACATAAATTCCACTTAGCATAAAACATTAATCAATTTCGGATTCGGCCGCCAATAAAGCCTTCAATTTGCAATTTAAACATAAATATATGAACAGATCATTTAACAATCAAACAGATAGACATGCGTTTAAACTAACACACTCAATCAATTAGCTCAGAATTTCAATCAATTCAATTACTTATCATGATCAGTCTCAGTTTAGCAATGATCAGTGGGGTTATCAGTAAATAGTAGTGAGGGTTGTCACAGTCTCCCCTCCTTATAAAGAATTTGGTCCTCCAAACTCGAATTACCTTCATTTTGGAAGAAAACAGGGTTCAGTGGAAACAGTTCAGGATATCTCTTCATCATATCGTCTTCCCTTTCCCAAGTGGCATATATGCCACCATGGTTTTGCCAGTCAACTTTCACTAACGGGATTTCTTTATTCCTTAACTTCTTGATCCGTCAGTTTACAATCTGAATAGGCCGTTCTGCATAAGTGTAGTCATCACTCAACACTACACGGGTAGGCTCAATCACATGGAATGGATCCCGAAGATAATCCCTCAACATATAAATATGGAACACATTATGCATATGCTCTATTTCAGGAGGAAGCGCTACTTGATACGCCACCGGATTGATTTTCTCGATAATCTCATACGGACCGACATATTTCGGCGCTAGCTTACCTTTAACTCCAAAACGAGTCTGGCCCTTCATCGGTGTCACTTTAACAAAAACATGGTCATCTACTTCGTACTCTCTGTCTCGCCTTCGGACATTCGCATAACTTTTCTGTCGGCTCTCTGCAGTTTTCAATCTCTGTTGAATCAGTTTCACCTTTTCAGTGGTTTCTTGCACAATCTCGGGCCCAAGTAAAGGCCCATCTCCAACCTCTGCCCAGCAAATCGGAGATCGACATTTTCTGCCATACAATGCCTCGAAAGGCGCCATACCAATGCTCGAGTGAAAACTGTTGTTATAGGCAAACTCAGCTAAAGGCAA